AGTAAGCAAGTTCAAGTGTGAATATTTTCATATTTGTGTGTTTCATGAGTTTTCTATTAAATAATTAGTGCATATATTAGTTTATTTAATATAAATAATAGTTTTATATTTTAGAAGAAAATTTTTTTTTATTTTCTAGAAGTAATAAGCTTAAAATTACACACACACACACACACATATATATATATAATATAATATATAGGGGGTTATAATTATACCGGTGTAACTTTTACTAAGTATTACACCGCTCAATAACTTTATATTAAATGTGAATTTTGTAAATTCAACCGTTAAATTAAAAGTTCATATCACCTTATACGTGTATATCAAATTTTTTTAAAATTGAACAACAACTGGAAGGTAATCAAAGTGTTTATATTTTAGTTTATTTTGAAATGAATATGTACTAGTAGGGTTATTCGGCCACCTGGCTCTGTCACTCGGCCACCTGATAGCCGACACCCAATCGGCACCCGAGTGGCCGAACCAGGTGGCCGATTAGCCACCACATGATCCATAGATCCAGATCTCCACTAATGAAGAGTTAAGGACTCCCCCTAATTAGGGATTAAGAGTTAATCATACCAATAAGCCGATTAGAGGCGCATTACCTAATCCGGTAATCCTGTTGCAGGGCCCATGGGAATCCGGGCCCATAAATGTCAGTATAAATAGCTCATGTCACGAGGTAACGTCACTGTTCATTAATTACTATCGATACTTGTGCTTTGTCCTGACTTGAGCGTCGGAGTGCCTTTTGCAGGTACCTCCCCCCTCACCGGAATATTCGATCGGAACTCTCGTTCGGCCCACCAAATACGAGAAGATTACTAGTGTGCCCTTCAGATAGGTATAGAATATATTACATCAATTTTGTTTTTATAAAAATGAAGTATCAAATCATCTTGGATTAATATAAAATTTTGTATATATAATCTAAGAGATATGAACTTTCAATCTAACGGTTGGATTTACAAAATTCACATTTAATATAAAGTTATTGAGCGGTGTAATAATTTTATATTAAATGTGAATTTTGTAAATCCAACCGTTAAATTGAAAATTTTTTACTCTTAAATCATATATACAAAATGTTATATTAATCGAAGATGATTTCTTATAAAACAAAATTAAATCTGTCAGAAAATTTATATTTTCGATGAAATGTTTTATTTATAGGAAAGGCTATATTATTGATGGAATATTTCCGGCAAATTTATATTTGTCGAAAATGTAAGAACTGATTTTAAATTTGATATGAAAATATTATGTAATAATTAGATAAGATTTTAAGTTATTATTTTATTAATGGTTGATAATTAGAAAATAAAACAAGGATAAATACATTTTTTGAATTTTATATGTTTGATTTAAGATAACTTACAAAATAACTCTTGGTAAAGTTATTCCGCTCAATAACTCATGGTGTGTGTTGAATTTCATCGATCCATTTAATTGTTAAATTAAAAGTTATTAAATTTTACTAATAATTAATATATAAAATATTAATTAGCTTTGGAATAAATTATTTTCTAATTAACAATATAATTGAAACATTAATTATTTTAAATTATTTAACTAAAATCTTATTGACAATTTACTATATGTAAATTATAATTTTAAATAGAAATAAGTAGATGTTAATTATAAAAGTAAGTACATATAAATAAAGAATAATTGAATATATTATTATTATTATTATTATTATTAGTATTATTATTATTATTCGTAATATAAAATTATTATATATTATTATTATAGTACAAGTATGAGATTGTATATATATTTGAGGATGACTTAAATGAATTAATTTGTACAAGTTATACTGACAACATACATATACATTTCGGTAGCTTACTCATCAGAACTTCACAGTTAAGTGTGCTTGACCTGAAGTAGTATAAGGATGGGCGACCTTCTGGGAAATATATAATTTTTGACAGAATTTTCCATTGGAAATTCCTGATGGATTTTTTTTTTCGACGCCACTTTTTTTGTCGGATTTAAATCCGTCAAAAAAAACAAAATCCGTAAAAAATTTACCTTTTTCCGTCAGAAATTAGCATTTTTCTTGTAGTGTATAACTCTTTGGAAGCCTGAGGTTGAGCATGAGATTCAACACTCAGCATAAGGACTTAGTCAAATTCTTTTATTTTCTAATTGACTTGGTATTTTACTTGATGAATGAGTTTGGTGATGAACACTTGTTATTGGAGTTGTTTTATGGCTAAATGATGATGAATATGTTGTATGTAGAGTGATGATGATAAACATTGATATATATGCTATATTTGTATAGTTGAAATGGTGATGAACATTTATATGCTTTGATGTGCTATAAATTGCATGGTTAAAGTGTTGAATAAACATTGGTATGTTATTATTGAATGAATTGTTATACATTAATGTTACTTGGATTAATTGTTAAGCATTGGTATGTTATTCTTGGTTGAGGTGTTAAGCATCGGTATGCTATAAATGATTGTGTGATTTGATCTCTATATATATGCATTGACCTGGTGGGATAATTTGTATAGAAGATGTACCTTGGGGTGTTGATGTTAAAAATGTTGTAGGTATTAAAGTATGTTGATTGGCTCAGGACTAAAGGAGAAAATGTTGTTTAGAAAGTTGAAGATCTCATATAGGGAATCTTGTTTTAGTACTCTAGGAGGTCAATTATTGTTGAAAACCCTCCTTGAATAGGTGTGAAACTCTTAGAGTGAATTTTGTTGAGTCTCCTCTAGGTCCTTAGTCAATATGGAGTAAGGTATGAAGTCAAGGACTATCACCCTTAACTGATTAATGGAAAGGTTTTGTGGTTCATTGCGAATTATTAGTAGGCTAACTCCACATGTGACTTGGTAATGCATGCCAAGGTTGTACGCCTATACCTACCTATACTATTCTTGATTATGGAATTGGACTTTCCTAGTTTAAGTGATGACATCCAAGAAACCATGTTTGTGTTGTGTATTGATATCCAAATTTGTTGTTGATCTAACAAGTCCAAAAAGATCATCTGTGTTGATTGGTTTGGTATGGTCAAACCACTTAGAATTCTCACTTGTGTTGTCGGAGATGTCCTAATTGAAGTGCATGAAAAAACATGTAGTTGTTCTATTGTGCATATGTTGTATTGTTTAAATTGTGTTGTTCATGTGCGATGCTAGTCTATGATAAAAGATGGTTGATGTGTGGAGTTTTGAGATGTTGATGTGTGTTGCTTAAGTTGCCATTTAGATCACTATATACTATGTTTCTTGAGTTGATAGTGTTGAATGTTTTGTAAGAGGAGTTGATGTTGATTTTTTTGAGAGATTATATGTTGACCATGTTGAAAGTGTTGTGAGATGTATCTGGTAAATGTGAAGAAATGATGATATACTCTGTTATTCTCCCATGTGTTGTATGTATGTTGATTTCTTTAACTTTAGCTTATCTTTACATATGTTTTCGTGTGATTGGACTATGATAATCATATGTGGTATGAAAAAGAGTAAGGATAGGTATGAGATATTGTTAAAGTGGAGGCCATTAGGCAAATGGTGGAGTGTCGCTTATGTTTTTGTACTACTACCGTGAAGTACTAATTTGTTTAAATATTTGATAACCCACAACTTAGTTTGTACAACTTACTTTTACTAGATTATTGTACCTATATTACATACATAGTTGTTTTACTTCATATGTTTGGTGTATCATACTCATTCACATATCAATATGCGTCACTAGTCATTTATGTTATTATTATTGCATGTTGAAGAGTCGTCAAGTATATGAATCATGATAGATTGCTATAGTCAAATTCTCAAATAAAGATTAATTATTAGCAAAATTAATGAATACTCATGTCATGATTAAAAAAAGGTGAGTAAGAAATTATAATTATATATACAATTTAATATAAAAATATTTTTATTTTAGAGTGTAAAAAGTTTTCCGATTAATTTAGATATTAAAATATTTTAAAGTAAACTTTTATTCAGTTAAGAGGTAAAAATAATAATTAGATGATATTTAACATAAAAAGTAAAAAATTTATATTTATTCAAGTAAAATTTACACATAAAATTTTCATTCTTTTATAATAAAGTTAGTGATTGTTAATAATCAAAGTATTAGGATAAGACGTTTAACATGTCAATAAAAGAGGATAATACGTTTAATATTC